GGTGGAGATCAACCTAACATTCTCCCCCTTGATCTCACCTTATAACTTAAACTTAACTTACTTTATCTTTTTCTCATTCCAGCGGAGATCAGTACATAGAGCGTGCCTCATTGTCATGGTCAGTTGCCATTAGATTAAACAGCTATAATACACCTCTCTGTTTTGAAATAGATTCTCAACTAGGCCCTTAGTATCCAGAAATCATAGGCTTTCCCATAACCCCATGTCGACTGTGTGTTCTCTGAACGCACTGGGTGGTTAGCCTTTGGTAAGCGGATCCGCAAGTACTTGCTTGGTACTTATATGCTCAATGCTTTCAAAATGATTCTGCATTTTCTCCATTACAACATATAACTTAATGTCAATGTGTTTGGCAGCATACTTGACCTGTTGTCTTAGGAGTTAATGACTTTAAATGGTTATTGCTATTGACTACCATTGTTAAATCTGGGTACATATTCCCTTAACCAGTTTTGCCTGTTCTTGAGGCCTCATGACAAGCCATACTATGGTATGCATCATTGATGACACCACAACTATTTCATTGGAGATTTTCCACAATAATACTCCAATTACGAGTGTTAGCAACTACTGTAGATTTCACTACACATCTCGCCAAAACTTAACATCTGTACCCACAACTATTTAAGAGTACTTGTTCTTTCTTACTCAGCATGAGGCCTATGATACTTTGCAAAAATTGCAAGACATTTTTAACTCTATTCTAGTGATCTATATCTGGATTGGACTTCTACCAAAATATCATAAATATGTAAGCTACGTCAGGGTAAGTTCTTACTTATACATTCATTAAGCTTCCAATAGCTGAAGCATATGGAACCATGTTCATTTGATCGATCTCATATTGGTTCCTAGAACACTTAAAGTTCCCAAATCTATTACCCTTGACTATAGGAGCAGGCGTAGGTTTACTCGCATGCATACTTTATTTCTTTATAATCTTTTCTATGTATGCCTTTACGATAGTCCTAATACCCCTTTTCATCTATCTCGGTGAATTACAATTCCTAGAACCAATGAGTCTTCACCAAGATCATTCACATTGAAACTGGAGGACAAATACTTCTTCTCCAATGGCAGAATAACATTACTACTAGTGAATAGGATGTCATCTATACATAGGATGTGGAAAAAGAATTTTCCATTCTTGAACTTCGCATAAACGCTATTGTCCTTCTTATTTTCTTTAAACCCAAACTTTCTTATCGTTTCATCAACTTCAAATACTACTGTCTAGAGACTTGTTTTAACCCATAAATGGATTTCTACAGGCGTCATCCCATACGTTCTTTTTCTTTCACGACAAAAACCTTTGGGTTGTGCCATGTAAATGTTTTCATATAAATCCCCATTGAGGAATGCTGTCTTTACATCCATCTGATGTAACTCTAAATCGTAATATGCCAATAACACCATTATGATTCTAAAAGAATCTTTGCATGAGACTGCAGAGAGAACTCTCATCGTAATCTATTCATTCTTTTTGTGTAAAGCCTTTTGCTACAAGTCATGCTTTATATCTTTCCACATTCCCTTTGGAGTCACATTTTATCTTGTAGACCCTTTCACAGCCTACTATTTTGGCTCCATTAGGAATTTTTTCTAAGTCCCAAACATCGTTGGTATTCATCGAATTCATTTCAACTTCCAAAGCTTCTTGCCATTCAAACGAGTAAATGCTTCTCATGGCTTCTTCAAATGAGGTGGGATCATCCTCCATTTGAATTTCTTCACTAACATAGACTTCATGGTCATCAGAAAACTGGTTTACTAATTCTTTGAGACCTTCTGGGGCCTCAACTACTGGTACTTTCATGTGGGGCTGTTGTTGCTCTTCATTGCCAAGAGGCAATTGATTCTACAGGCTCCGGTATCACAAGATCCTTATTTATATTATTCATCTTATTCGAAGAGCCAACAATATGTGTTGTATAAATCATACAACATCAACAGGTATCGAGAAATTCATTGTTTTGAATCACTGAAGTGGGCACGCAGCCCCACTTTTCTTCAAGTCAAAGGTCTCTACGTACCGTGCTCCCACAGATCATCCCATCTTTTATAAAGATAGTGTATCTTCTAATTTCTTATTTGGGTTCAATCTGTTAAAACCTTATATGGCGCTTTAAGCACTGCTTTAATATCTTTGATGGTGACTACGCTATCTTCCTCTCGGAACTTTAAAAAATCTAAGAATTTAGTTGTTTCTCTGCTTAGGGTTATCATTGTTATGACCGACAGTCACATTCATCAAAATATTTATCTCACTCAGTTTCTTACAAAATCTATATCTCACTCTTAATGAAGAGTACACATTCATCAGCATCTTTATCTCACTCTTAATGAAGAGTAGTTTCTTAATTGATCTTAATTCTTACTCCTAATTCATCTCACAATTCTCCCCCTCGAAATATGGCATGAACTATACTGCCATAATTTCGAGAACTATTCAGAAAACTATAAATGAGGAGACACTTATGACTTACTTTATTCACATGATTATGCCATGCAAATAAAGTTATTTCTTGATCCGTATAGCAGTACACTTTCCTCATTCCACTTCAAGAACTCGATGAGGTCTTTTATTAACTGTACTTTTGCAAGTCACGCTTGCATCTTTTTCTTGTCTTTGATTAGTATTGACCATGACGGTGTATTTCTATTGTGCCATGGTCAATACTAGGATATGGTTAATACTAGGATAGCATAAGAGCTATCCAAACTTCTCTCGTTATGCGGGATACAAAAACATATGAGTCATCACAAAACTTCTCCTGCCATGTAGGATTGACTAGCATAAGTACTATGCCAAACTTCTCCCCATGCGGGATAAATCTATATATAAATTACCGTAATGAAAAATTTAGTCATGATAACTAAAACATTCACTTATACTTTATTTTCCAATTAAATCTTCCCATTGGTTCCAATTTAATCAGAAAATTAGTAAACTAACATAATACTATCTTGAACTAGCTTGATTCAAGCCTTTTTCATTCTCATACCCCAGCATTGCAGCCCGTTGACATGCAGCCGAGTGATCTCGTCGGTTAAAAAATAAACTTACAAGATGCTTCTGCATCAATTTAATATCACCGTTATGCAGAAAATAGAATTAATGCATAAAACTCATAAATTAATTTGAAAGACAAATAACTACTCTTCAAAATTAAATTCTCCCATTGGTTCGAATTTAATTAGAAGATAATCAACATCATTGCAGCGAAACATGATAATAAAATACATTCTATTAGTTCAGGAGCATTTCTTTGTCTTTATCTACTATCTGAAAAATTGACCATGTTGGTATAAAATTTATCAGAGATTTAAACTTCAACCTTAAACTTATTATAATATTGTTATCATCAACGTTGGTTAGAAAATAACAATACCATAATTTAACATAAAAATCGGACTACTCCTCAAATTTAAATTTTCTCATTGGTTCTAATTTAATTAGAGGATAAACATAACCATAATGTACTAAAAGTAACTACTCTTCAAATTAAATCCTCACGCTGGTTCGAATTTAATGAGAAGATAATAATCATTAACTTTACAGCGAAAACATGAAGCACTTTTTTGTACTCATCTACTGTCTAGAAAAATTACCCCGTTGGTTCAAATTTTGATAGAGATTTAAATCTTCAAATTTGACTAAAATTCATCTAAAATTGCTTCTAAAATTAATAAAAGTAAATGCAAGACTGTTACTTTGCATTTTGGCCCGAAGGCCCAGCTCACGAACAGGCCCACAAAGGCAACATGCTGCCCCATGACTCATCACACTCACACACCAGCTGCTTCTGCTGCCCAAATGTTGCCTCAGCCCCCCCATGCCCAGTGTCATAACCTAGGCCGTGGCATGCTGAAAGTGCCTTCCTGCTGGGCGATTCTTGATCCAAATAACGCCGACCGTCGCATCGAATGTTCAAACGGCTGTCCACGTGGATCGGTGGATCAAAAACTACCCAGCTAGTCTCCTCCCCAAACCTAGCTCATTCTTCACCCTCCCCTCCTCTCTCTTCGCCGTAGAGGCGACAACGGCGGCGGCCACGATGGCCGTTGGTGCCGGTGAGGAAAAGCACCGCCATAGCAGATCCAGCTACCCTTGCTCTACTTCTTTCTTGCTCCCCTTCCCTCCTATTCTAGCCCCACACAGAGTGAGGAGAGGATCAGTGGCGGCCGTCCATGGTGGCCAGAGGAAAGATAGCGGCGCCGCCGCAGGCCCCCTCGCCGACACGCGCGTTCGCCTGAGAGTGAGCATGTCGATGTCGAGTGGCCTTGCATCGGTGCCCTGAGCTCGAGCCACTATGACAACACTCTTTGCCCGACGACGTGTGGCTCGACTCGTTCTCCCACGCGGCGGCAGGACTTTCTTCCCATGCGATGGCGGTGCGACGACGGTGGAGGAGCCCTGTTGAGTCCCTCTCCAAATCCATCCATGTTCTTTAGGGTTAGGGTTAGGGTTTGGGGAAAATCATAATCTTTCATCTCCTTCTGATTTCTTTTCATTTTTCTACCCCAAGATCTAGATCTATACCCTAGTAAGGCTCTGATACCGTTGATAGAATTCTAGGATCATCTAGGTGTAGATCAGTGGGTAAAACTCAACTTAGACAAAGGAACATGCTGATGTACCTCGCCGTATGCAGTGGCGGCCATGGCGCCGCCACAACGTTGCCACTAATGTCGGAGTACAAGTAGCATCGTAGTGGGACGCGGTCCAGTAGTGACACCAATGGAGCTTCTCGTCGCTCACAGCACTCCCCTCTTGATCGGACTAGGGTTAGACTAGGTGGGGAACTGGTGGCAGCAGTGAACCTTGTACCTTGTGCCCGGCCCCCACCTTCCTCTTTATAGTGCAACGCGACGGGGGCCCATCAGCCAAGAGAACGGTTGGGCGCGTCCGATAAGGGCATGGATCAAGGGCCCAATTGGCCGTTGGGCCAACTTGGTGAAGATCAACCTAATAGGACATGCTCCTAGACACATCGCACATGGCGACGTAGTTGCTCAGCCTGTCGAGCGTGCGCATGTCGTCAACCATGCGCTGCCACTGTAGGTCAGCCATGTTGCCGTCATCGCCGAGGGAGGTGATGATCTTGTGTGGGAGCAGCGTGCATATGGTGATCCGCTTCTTGCTAGACTTGACGTCGGTGAGGTAGGAGTTGAAGCGGTCGGTGTCGTGCTTGAGGAAGAGCTCCTTGTAGTTCTTCATGGCCACAGAGGCGACGCGCATGTACGCGACCGACTCCCACGCGCACGTCGAGATGAAGACCTCGGAGAGCTTGAGCGTGCGGCGGAGCGGCACGAGCGCCGCCTTGCGGAGCCGCTCGCACGAGTGGTACGCGTAGTGCTTGTCCGCGAGATCTGCGGCGAGCTCGGGCGCGAAGCCCTTGGGGAAGAGGCACCGCACGACGACCTCGCCAACCAGCGTGGAGCGGTCATAGGAAGAGTCTAGCTATGGGCACCACTTGGTGGTGAGCGAGAACTCCCGGACCTTGCCGTCGGCGAGCTTGCGCATGTCCTCCATGATGAGCCCCATGAAGAGGTCGGTCGTGCAGGAATCGGTAGGTGGAGTCATTGTTGTACATCTCGATCACCCTCATAGCGGCCTCTGCTCTCCTAGCCTGGCACACGATCGTAGCCACAGCTGCGAGTCCCTGGTCATGCTCGAGGCTAGCCACGGCACGCTCCTCCATTGAGCCGACGCGCGTGGAATTTTCTCATTCCGCACGGGTACGAGGCATACGGCTGCCAAAGCAGCTGCGTCCCCAGCCTTGATCGCTGATGAATCCTCCTCCCTCAGCGTCGAGGCATGCCTTCTTACCGGGGGTCCTGATGGAGACCCCACTGTGCATGATGTGGTGGAACAGCTCGGGGAGGTCCTTGAGTTAGCCAAAGTCAGCGACGGGGGTGGCGTTGAGGGCCAACATGCATGGGTGGTGGGCGGGGAGCCAGAGCGTGGTGGCGTAGAATCCCTCGCAGTCAGACTTGTCGCTCCAGCACACGTCGTGGAGGTTGGCGACGAGGCGGAGCGCGACGGCTGAGTCAATTGCCCAGGCGACGCCCAGGAGCGACTCCACGGAGGCGACCGGCGTGCTGGGCACCACGTGGAAGAAGAAGTCAAGGCAAGGGTCGCCCGAGGACATGAACGTCGGGGAGCAGTTCTCCGTGAGTGCCATCAGGTCTAGGAACTCATCCCCCGTCGCCACCGGTTCGGCCGCCGCTGCCATGGCCCGGGCCACGGTGTGGTGCTGGCGGGCCTCGGGTAGGCCCACGAGGATGTAGGAGGCGTCGGCGGTGGTGTCCATGGTGATCACCACTGGAGGATCTAGGCCTTGAGCCTCACTCAATGGGCTTTAGGAGGCGTCGGCGGCGGTGTCCATGGTGATCACCATTGGAGGATCTAGGCCTTGAGCCTCACTCAATGGGCTTTAGCTTGGGCCTTGGAACTCAGAACAGAGTGACTGACACCGAGAGGTGTACGGCTACTGCGGGCTGAGGAGGGCTTTGAGTTTGAACCCTTTGGGTGAGGGCTTGTGCCTTGTGGTGAGGAGACAGGGACAAGGACGAGGTGAATATATGGGGCTGAGGTTTCATGGCAGGCAAGGATGTTTGGGTCGGTGAGATCGAATATATGGGGCTGAGGTTTTGTGGCAGGCAAGGATGCTTGTGGGTATCGTGTCCATCGGCAAACATCTTTTTTACTTTTTTTGTTTGTCTCGCCATTCATACTGCGCGCCACGTTCATGTGATCCAAGGTTGGGGGCATTGGCTCATTGATTTTCGAGTAGCACCTTCCAATGGAAGGCGACTTCGCCTATTGGCTCTTCGGCTACAAGTTTAGCTTTTTTTCGTAGGTGTGTTTCTAAAAAAATAGCTTTCATATGAGCTTACCATTTTTGCAAAACATTGACAAATCCTGTTGGAAACTGACCGTGTATTTGTTTTCTGTATGTGTATATATACAGAAAACTATGTTCGTCCTAAAAATACATTTTTTTATTAATTATAGGATAAATTACTGCCTAGAAATCACTCGTGCATCTCTGTTTATTTACCATCGAAGGTGATCCATACTAATTTTATCAGTAAAACATAAAACATTAATTAAAATGGAATGTATGGAGACATGAAAGCTGCAACCTCAAGCTTAGAGCAACTCTTAAAGTATATGAAAACTTGGATCTCTAAATCACCTCTCTAAAATCTCTGAACCGAACTCTCTATTTTTTGGAGTTGCTAAGGGACTCAAGATCTTCGTTCTTCACATTAAGATACATACATATATACGGAGTACATGCAAAAAAAACATAGGCATTCTAACACCCTCGATGTTACACCCTAAATCATTTACTAAAATATGTCATGAGCATCATGTTTATATGTTAATCCATGTGATAGAATGTGTAGATAAATTTCTTATAACTTAAAATGATAAATAAAAATTGTAAATGAAAGTTGATTTAATAGCTCATGTATATCAAGTAGGGTTGAAAACCAATTTTTATTAAGCAAAAATACTATAGAACATGTGTGTGATATTTAAATAAAGTTTAAAGTACAAACTTTGTAGATGACAGTGAAATACTTACTGTTGAAAAATGATATTATTAGCTAATATTTCTACTAGCCTAAAAATTGTAAATTGAAATCAAGTTCAGCTCAAAAACAGAAAAATTCCAAGTTTGTCAACAACAAGACATTGCTATGTTTAGTAAAGTATTTTGAGAGATTGGGTTAAGGGATGGTGTAGTGTTATAGCTCAATTTGGTAGTCTCATATGCCATCTTGAGTATAGTGAAGATAGTTTAGGTCTAGAAGCAACCGTTTAGTTTTTATAGGCGTTTTAAAATTCGTGCATGACACGGTTTCAGGTTGGTTGGCCTTGTGGGCACGGTCACCATGCTCGGGCGTGTGGCATCGCCATGCTAGCTGTCCCGTGTGCCTGCTGGCCGTCATGCGTGGTCACCATGGTTGTCCGACACTGGTCAGTAGCCTCGCCGCCTCGCCTCGCTGGCGCGTGGAGTCGCCTTCTTTGCTTGCGTTGCCAGACGGTCTCTTTGTTGCCGGCCCTCTACCGTCTTTGCCAGCCGCGACTGTGACTTCATACTGCGCGCAGCCACCGCCGTCGGTCGTCGCCTCACCATCATGTCTGTGTCGCACTCTGCATCTCTGCGCCGCTGCCGGCCCAGTGCGATGCCGACTCTGCCGCGTGCACGTGGTCGGGCTCACCGTCGCTTTGTCATTAATGGCACTGCAGCGCGTGAGCCACGTCGGTCGTAGACGCGCGCGCCTGTCTGCTAGCGCCTACGCATGGGCCTCCACGATCACGCCGACGACCATTCCATCAAGGCGAGGATGAACCAAGCCCACCTCTCGTACCCCGTCTCTCTCTCTCTTTCTCCCTCCGCTACCGCCGTCGAGCCATGCCATCACATTACCCCGTGAACAATCACCTCCATTCAATTCAGTGCATCCACGGCTTCACCATCATGTCCTCTCGCTACCTGACCCCACCCAGTCTTGATGCAAGCACAACCAAGCTCCAATTTTGGAGTTTCCCCGCCGCTGTGTCGATAAGGCCGTGTCCGGCCGTAGATGTGGGCTGCCCTCCTACCGTCCCTACCGAACCAATTCACTTGCACCATTAGCTTCGCCTTGTCTCCCTCTCCACCTTGCACACGTCAGTGAAACCGCTACCGCCTCCCCGCCGTCGTGGACACCACTATGCTGCCACGGTGCCCCGCCACATGGCTAGGCCACACCTGGCCAACCCTCCTCCGTCATCCTCCACCCCAATCATCACCTCGGCTAGGTCCACGGTAGTCTACTGATGCTCCATCCCTAGCCAGTCAGGTTCTTAGGTGCTCTAGATCGTCGGGGCAGCTGTGCCGCCGTCGTGGATGGTCGCGTGTCACTGCAGCTCGCTCCAGTGCGTCCCGCCACCCCTCGCTGCCGCTTAGCGTAGCCACCAAGATCAAAGATGGTGATCGACCCATTAGGTGGGCCCACGTAGGTCCTAGATGGCCGGCGTAGGCACTCAGTGCCGCCGCTCGTCGCGCCGCTGTGCACTGAGTTGCCAGGGGTACAGGCGAGGGAATTCCAGGAAAGCCAGGGGGTTAAGTGAGAAGTTCTGAGAGAGGAGAAAATATTGTTAGTACTTAGTTGAAATTCAGGAGAAGTTCGAGGTCTCTTTTGCAAAGTCGTCGACGCGCGCGGGATTTCCCGACGTGTGCCATCCTCGCGTGGGACGCACCACGGGCCGCCGTGCGCTCGCATGCGTGCTCTCACTACGTCGCGTGGGCCGCGCGTGTGGGCCACGCGGGAGAATTCGTTTTTATTTTTCATAAGGAATTAGAAATAGTTTTCTAATTAAATTTTTGAGCTGATTTTTGGTAAATCATATAAAATTATGTTGGTGTACAAAAATTGTTAAACAAATTTTGTTAGGTTACTAAAATTATGCTCTATTTGTTAGTGTATTTAGTTCATATATATACATGTTGATACTAGAAGCTATTAAATCATTTGAGAGTGCTTAATATTGTTAGGTTAAACATTGTAGGAATTTTTGTGGTAAATTAGTGATAACTTTAGTCCTAAAATTTTTATGGTAGCTTCATTGTATTATTATGTGCTCACTGTAATTTTTGTGGCTTTAGAATAGACTAAATATTAGGGTAGTTAAATGCTCTTTGTTTTAAATATGCATTAAATCATTAGTAGAAATAAAGATATATCCTTTATTTGTAAAGCTAGGTGTTTATTAGTTGAACCCAACACTTTGCTTGATAAAGATGATAGTTAGCTTAGTACCTTAGTCATTAGAGCTAGCTTAGTAGCTTAGTATGTGTATTCTTAGTTTAGTTGCTATTACTTAAATGCTAAGTGTTGCATCATCATCGCATGCATGTAGAGAACGAGTTGGTGAAAATCGTGACCACCGGCGATCACGAGTTTAAGGAGATCGTCGAGGAGTACGAGGAGGAGATTCTCGTGCAGGAGGTCCTAGAGCCGCCACTGACTGACTCAGCTGACACCGCGCCTGCCCAAGGCAAGCCCCTGTGCATAACCCCTTATTTTTGGATAATCACTGTTTATATATGTTATGTGCATTTACGTTACAGGAATTTTATGGAAATCATATGAGTCTTACTAATGCAGGTTCGAGTAGCTACTATGCTTAGGTTTTCGGTAGCATGAGTAACCTGCCGTTACTCACAATAGGTGATTATTATTACTCATAATAAAATGATGAAAAGAAAAATAGAGACCGGTTAGGGATATGGTATAGTTATTGGTGGGTGTAACAGGTTATGTCCCGTGGCCAACAGAGCTTAGCTTGTTTACACTGTTTTCCCTATTTGTATCGATTAAGGACCGTCCGTTGTTGTGGTTGATAGTTAGGTCACAGACTTATTATTCTGAGCACATACTTGCTTATGGGAGCGGGAAGGCTCGTTACGCTCTTGTCGTGGGTTCCGGCTCTTTCTGGACCGACTGATTGGAGGCGGGGAAAGGTGGAGGTCTAAGCACCATACTGAGACCGGGTCTCAAGTGTGGAGGCTTGGAGTCCAAGTTTGGACAGAGACCTAAATCGCGTGACATGAGTGGAATGGGTTGGTCTTGTTTGTGTCTGGGATACAAACGGGGCGTGTATTTTGGGGTACCCAGCTGGGATACATTGGTTCACGAATCGCCGTTTCCATGAGACGGTACGACTTGGCTATGGTCTAGCACCGTGGTAAGAACTGGAAGATGAAAGATGGTGAAATAGTTCTGATTGCTCAACCCTTGCTTGAAAGTAGAACATATGCTTATTTAGAATGGTTAGCTAATGAAATTATCGTGACTGCTAATTAAATTTGATCTTAAGGACGTACTTCTAGTAACGCTTTTCACAAACGAAAAGAAAACAGCAAACCCATATTATCTATCAAACTCCTTGGAGTCGGGAAACTATTTTCACTAGTCGGGTAAGTCTTGCGAGTACATTATGTACTCATGGTTTATTTTATCCCTGTTGCCGGTGCAGCTTGAAGAGTAGCTCTTATGTGGAAGATTCTTCTGGTGGACACAGACGGAACCTTGTATCGTTTCCGTTAGATGTTTATTTTCATTCCGCTGTTTAATTATCACACTCTGAACTCTGGTATTGTAATAAATAATTTCCAAAAACTATTGTTGTATGAAATAGACTAAGTATTGTAAGCTCGTACTCATTATTGGATTATGGATGTAAAATGTGGATTGTTTCGAGTTCTCTCTTGGGGTGTGCTCGACGAAACTGTTCGATGTACCTCACTTT